GAACAAAAATAAAAACAATTTATTTCCGTTTAAAAGTATCTATAAACCCTGGTTGCAATTCACCCACGAGATTGTAATTTCAAAGCTACAAATGTTTACTTTTCAATTAACGCTTAAATTATAACACGCAAAGAGTATGTGTACGAGAGAGAGAGGGAGAGAGAAGGGGATGTTTGTGAATATAAAAATAATTCGAAATATTAAATAATCTACGTTAAACAAAAACTAAATTTATATTTCATACGATCAAACGTACAGTGGGTGTAAAAAGTATTCTTACGCCATCAATTTGAATATAAAATGTTGTAAAATTGTAGTTTATTAAATAATTTTTTTATAAACAATAATTTCCTACATATTTTTAAAAGTTTCACGAATAGATCTAATGAAATAAAATACTGACATAAAAATCGTAACTATATTAATATGTTATCTTTATATTTCAAATTACCAAAAAAAAAAATAATAATAATAATTATTATTATTATATTTTAATATATAATTACAATTTAATTATTACTATTATTATAATTTAATTTTAATTTAATATTAAGTATAATTAAAATAATATTATATAAATATAATATTAATTATTATTATTATTATTATGATTAAAGGATTAAAGATTTTATTTTATATACAATGCAAATGTGATGTGTCAATTAAAAAATCCTTAATATTCTATCAATTAAAAAATAAATTATTGTTTCATTACTTTTTTTTTTCTTTCCAATAAATAATTTACATCTAACATAGACTACAATTATCGAAAATTGATTACGTAAAACATTACGAAAAATAAAATAAAATAAAATAAAATTAAAAAAAAAAGAAAAGAAATAAAAAGTAAATTGATATTCTATCGATTGAAAAATAAATTTTTAGATAAAATAACAATGTTTCATTAGATATTTTTTTTTCTTTCCAATAAATAATTTACATTTAACATAGACTATAATTATCGAGAATTGATTACGTGAAATAAAAAAAAAATAGAAAATAATAATAATAATAATAATAATAAAAGTAAAAGGGGGAAAGAAAGATCGATGCCTTGTTCGATCTATCGATCTTCCATCGTATAAAAGCGTTAATAATCGTATTACGCGTTCCCGATAATCGAGGAACAATAGGGTCGTTTATAAAGGCGGAAAAGAGGCGGAAGAGGAGAAAAGAGGGGAGGAGGAAGAGGAGGAGGAGGTATACGAGATAAACGATAAGGATCGAGGTAGAAAAAGAGTCGACTTATAAGAACCATTCTTTGGTGACCTCGCGTGCAAAAACAAGGCACCGTACTGTCATGACCGTTTCGAAGTTTACGAAGAGGAAAGAGAAGAGAAGAGAAGAGAAGGGAACGAAAGGAAAGGGAAGGGAAGGAATGAGAAGCAAAAAGAAAACTAGATAAAGAGTTGGATAAATTTATAGATAGATAGATGGATATAAAGAAAAAAGAAGGAACGTGGTTTACGAACCGATAAGCTCGATTGGTTTTGCAATACAAAAGGGATTTTGTCGTGAGAATATGCAACGAGCTATTATAAATATTTTTTTTACACTTTCGAACGTGTATTTTAAACTTCTTACGCGTGCGCACCTTCAATTTAAATCAAAATAGAATTAAAATAATAATTATATATAAATTCAATCAAATATTAGACCTATAATTAAATAAATAAGTAATAATTATATTTAATATAATTGTCATTAGATTAAAATTATTAAGTTAATATTAAATTTATCTAAGAATCATAAATTTAACTAAAAAAAAAAAAAATAAAATATAATTATAAGTAAAATAATAATAGAAAAATATAAATAACGTGTGTCTTAAATTTCTTGCGTGTGCGCACATTACATTTAAATCTACTATCAAAATAAAATCAAAATAATAATTATAACTTAATTGAATAAAATATTAGACCAATATAATTAAATAAATAACAAATAATTATATTTAACATAATGAAAATAATTTCAATTAAAATTATTAAGTTAAAATTAAAATTAACTAAGCCATAAATTTATGTAAAAAAAAAAAAAAAAGAAAAGATATGATAAGTAAAATAATAGAAAAATACAAATAAATAATAATTTAAATCTGCTACCAAAATAAAATAAAAATAATAATTATAAATTAATCCATTGAAATACATTAAACGTATAATTACATAAATAACAAATAATTATAATATAAGAAATTAATATAATCGTCGTAAAATTAAAACCATTTATCAAAACCATAAATTTATCTACTAAAAAAAAAAAAAACAAAAACAACAACAAAATAAAATATGATGAGTAAAATAAAAAAAAATACAAATAAAATTAAATGAATTAACCAAAAAAAAAAAAAAGAAAGAAAAAATAGTTAGCAAAAAGTTTAGTATAGTCTAGGATGATTTAACGAGACTAGAATGCCAATTCACGATCATCGTTAGTTGTCCCCTCTCAATATTTTCCCTCTCCTTCTCTCTCTCTCTCTCTCTCTCTCTCTCAGGCTTTTAGTCTCTTACTTTAAGGCGTGCGCGTTTTATCTATCTATCTATCTATCTGTCTATCTATCTATCTATCTATCTTCGTTGTATGTTTCTCTCTTTTACACTAACACACCGCCTTCATACCACTTTCCAGTAATCTACTACTCTCGCAGCTGTTGGTCCTGGTTGTACGTGCTGGCAGGCGGCACTACTTAATAAACCGACGAGAAGGAAAGATTCCAAGCAGCTTTGCCAGCTCGTTACATTATCCCTTTTCCGGACAAAATTGTTGTTAGAGTGTAACTAAATATAACGATTCATTAACTAATAATTTTATTTTATTTTTTCTATTTTTTTTTTTTTTTCAAAAATAACTGTCCTCATCTTTATTCAATTATTTATCACCTCGTTCATTTTATTTCTTCATTTAATTATTTACTATCATATAAAGTACATATATAACCCTTTTACAAATGATACATAAAATTATTATTCGAAATAAAAATATTAAAACAAAAAGAAAATAATTAAACTCACACTTTACTATTTTTTTGGGGGGTTTTAAATAGACGAAATAATTCATTGAGGGATAAAGTAAAAGTTATAACTCCTTTTCTTCTTTTGGGGGGAGGTTCTTAAATATTAAACAATAGAAAAAAGAAAAAAAGGGGATAGAAATAAAATGAAGAGAAAAATAGAGAGAGAGAGAGAGAGAGAGAGAGAGAGAATGAGGTAGAGTAGCGTAGCAAACTAACGAGAAAGGCGGGAGGATAAAATAAAATTGCTAAGTAACTTTGTTACTTGGAAAGTTGCACGAGTTACGATACTCTAACAACGGTTGGGATATTTAAACCGAGTGAAAATATTTGGCACATATGTATGTATCTATCTATCTATCTATCTATACATACATACATATATACTTACTTACTTACGCATTAACGATAACTTGGTAATGCACGTGCATTATCGTTTTGCACGCACGAGATAATCGAATACTTTTTTTTTTACCTTTCATTTTTTTTTTTTACCGCGATTACGGACTACAATGTAATGGTTGGTTAGTTGTAACGAAAATAAATAAATAAATAAAAATAAAAAATGAAAAATAAAAAGAAAAGAAAATAACCAAAACAAAATGAGGTAAAATAAAATAACGTAAATTCGTGATATATTGCTAATAAATAATATTATGATATAATAAATAATAATTTTATGTGAAATAAAATAATCTAACGTAAAATAAAATTTATAAAAAATGTTAAAAGTTAATTTACAACGTTTAACCAAAGGAAATACATTTTCACGATATAAATACACTTGTTGCGAACGATTGAGAAGAACCCGACTAGCTAACCTACTGAACTAAACGAATTAAGAAACCATCGATGTTAAGTGGAACCCACGCTCGGGGACTTGGACGAAACGTTAAAGACGATTGAAATTGGAGCTCACGAAAGGAGGGGACGAAGAAATGAACGAATGAACGAACCTACGAACTAAATAACGAACAAAACAAACGGACTGATGAAACTTATAATTTCATTCTTTTTCTGTAGATTTTACAATATTTGTTAATCTTTCCTCAATTGAATATCATTTAAACAAGTATACACGTATAAATGTATGCAATGTATGTAGAATATGTGTTATGTATACACGTACATGGTTGGTATATCAATGATTGGTATTGTTAATACAAGGTAGATAAACAAACTATCTGTAAAATACATAAATATATGTATATGTGTATAATAAATAGGTAAATAATATGTATGCAGTTATCCGAACGATTACATTTAGTATTTGCGACGAATTTGCGAGGTTAAATGACAAAGCGAGTCATCAAGATTAAACTCGACGTTAATACGTATGCGATAGGATCTACGATATTTGTAATTAACAGAGGCGATATATACACATATAATGTATATATATATATACATATAGAAATATAGATACAGAAGTGTAGAATTGCAAGGAATAACAGGAGGGAAATTACATGTCTCCAACTAGCAGTGTATATGCATTTCTCATTGTCGCGCGTGACCATAATCATATTCGATGCGCCGCCATTCTCGATCGATCTTTTTTATATCTCGATCTTTCTTTTCTACGATTCGATTGTTAATCTTCTTTTAAACGACAAAAAATGCTAATTAGCTTAGCTAACATAAATTAAAAAATAACAGAAAAAAAAGGTAGAAAAAAACCGGTTCGAAGGTAAATGGTTGAGTAACGATCGATGTAAATCAACGATGAATACACGAAGAAGAAGAAGATGATGATGATGATGATGATGATGATGATGACTTTTGAATTAAAGTCAAATCAAAAATATAGAAAAATAATAAAATAAGACATTACCCATTAGAATTAAAATTCTTCCTTGTACGTTTCTTCAAGAATTATTCAATCTCATCCAACGATTAATTATATTCGAATTAATTTCGTTATATTCACCTTGGCACTGCGGTACAAAAAAAAAGTAAAATAAAAGTAAGAACACACACACACACTCACCAAGAATACCATCTCTTATTCTCTTTCTCTCTCTCTCATACCCCCTTACCATGCATACACACATTCACACATATGCACACACAAGGAAACAATCAAGTAGGAACACACTTGTCGATCCGAAGAGTAGGTAGCACTACCTTTCCAAATGATAATACTCCTCTATTCCTTTTCTCTTCTTATTTATTTCGCGCGCGCACCACAATAATAATATATAATAAATATATATATATATATATAGCACACGATGTTATCGAACGCGCAAATAATAATAATTAAAAGAGCGCGACAGAGAAAAAGAAAGAAAGAAAGAGAAAGAGAGAGAGAGAGAGAGAATAGATAAACAACAAAGTTGTATTATGTGTTATGTGTATGCAATTGGTGCATTCGCGCATGTAATAATAATAAAAAACTTATATACGGAAGAAATAACAACACACTATTACAACACGCGCGCGCACACGACGATCGAACGAATTATATAGATATAGACTGACACGTATTAAATAGAACAATGTGTACTCTACGGCGTCCGACGCTTGACTACGAGCCGGGTAGCCAAGTGGATGACGGGAAACGTGTGAACGCCGTTCGTCGTCGCGGTAGCCGCCGCTTGGTGGCGCGCACTAACACGCGCAGAGATACACGGCCGAGATGAACCACCAATGAGAGCTCACGGTCGCTCTTCTCCTCGTCTATATATATATACATATATATACATATATATACACACTAGGAGAAAGAGAAAGAGAAAGAGAAAGAGAAAGAGAAAGAGAAAGAAAATGTCAAAGGGAAAGGGAGAGAGAGAAAGAGAGAAAGAGAAACGACAACGATGGCTCTCTCGCGTGCTTGCTTCTTCTCCTCCTCCTCCTCCACCTCCCCAACTCCCTTTACACTACCACCACCAATGCAACCATCCACCGACTAACCGAACGTCCTACCCCTTACCCTTCACCCTTCCTTCCTCTCACCCAACCAACCAACCAACCAACCATCCCCCTTCTCCCTCAACTCACAACTCACCCCCGCACCTCACAGCACTCCTCTCTTCTTACTCGATTCTCGCTTCGCCTTGAGTCAAGGGCGTCGACCGATGGGGGCGACTCACCGTCGTCGTCGTCGTCGTCGTCGTCGTCGTCGTTGGTCTTTCTCTCTTTTACCTACGATTTCGTAACGCTATTTGCTGGACGACGCTTTATATGCGTGTACACCCTATATACATAGATACATAGATAGATTTACGTATATATGTTAAATGCCTTTACGTTGGACAATTAGCCACAAATTCGATTAACTTTTAACTCGAATAATATTGTTACAACCCTCTCCCCAAGATAACTTTCTTATTTTCTTACGAATAAACATTATATTTGATTACTTGTATATGTAAACAATTTTAATAAAATTAATCTTTGATTAGAGAATTTTCATCCCTTATATTTTCTTTCGTAAGAAAGTAAGTATAGTGTTCGTCATAAGAGAAAGAGATGGAAAGTCATATGGGTTATGAGAAGCATATTAACAAATCCCTTAGTCTTTCCTCAAAAGCACACACGTCATGTGTAGCGTGGAATATAATACGAACGTTAGAAAATCTTTATCGACACCTCTGCTCTCTCACCCTCCCTTTCTCTCTCTCTTTCTCTCTTTCTCTCTTTCTCTCTTTGGTTCGTCCCATCTCGCGCACTCGACACTAGTATCCACCCAGCTTCCGTCTCCTTTCCACCCACCGGGTGGATGAATTCACCGCGTTGTCGCGTCTCCCTCGCGCTCGCGTGTTTCTTAATCTTCCACCTCTCCTCATTTCCCCTCTCACTCTATCTCTCTCACTCACTCATTCTATCACCCTTTTTCCATCTCTCATCCCATTCTCTCTCTCTCTCTCTCTCTCTTTTACACAGCATCGTTCTTTCACTTACACTTACCCCAACGCTTCCTCCCTTTTCTTCTCTTTGTCTACCACGTTCCAGCTTTTCTCTTTCTCTCTCTCTCTCTCTTTACACACACATACATATACACGAATATACAGTGAACTACGTGGACGCTTCCCCGCATAACATGCACGCATACAAACATAGTTACGTGGATGCTTCACCATCTCTCAAATGTATACATACACAATAGTAAGTTTGTCTCTCTTCAACCATTGTAATAACGAATGACAAGCTCTTCCTCTCTTCCTCTCACTGGAAACTGGAAGAGAAAGAGAGAGAAAGAGAGAGAAAGAGAGAGAAAGAGAGAGAGATAGACAGACAAAGAGAGGATGGTCGAACCGTGTGCCGAATGTTACTGGGTATCGTGTTGTGTGAGATTCAGAGAAAGAGGGAAGACAGAGATAGAAACAGAAAGAGTGAGAGTGAGAGAGAGGGATGGATGAAGGATAGAGGGTGGCAAAGGAGGTGGAGGAGGAGGAGATGAGTCAAAGAGCTGGAGCCGGACAACGCAAGTCAAGCGGTAACGTGTAAGGAGAGACCTCGACGTGGGTGTAACCACTGTTGAACGTGTGAGTAAAGTGAGAAAGTGTGTGCGGACGTGCGTGTCTCATCATATTACACGTTGCTCTTTCTCCCTCTCTCTGTCTCTCTCTCACTTTCTCTTTCTCTGTCTTTATCTATCCACCTATTTATCTCCTCTTTCTCTCCGTGCTTGTATTCGTCGAGAGGGCGCGAGGAGATGAATTCCTCATTCGGTTAAATGCTTGCGCAAGGGGATGTTCTAAATCAGCTTGTTTCTACCTGCACCTTCCCCCACTTTCTCTCTCTTTCTCTTTCTTGATGCCTCTGTCTCTCTCTTTTTGACCTTTTCGAAATTCCAATAGCTTCGTTCCTTCCTACTTTGCTAAACTTCTCTTACTCCTCCTAGTTGTTGGAATTTAGGTAACTTTTGAACTGTTATGTTTGAACGTATAGGACATAGAATGAATGCAGGACAATCGAAACGGAAATCGACTTGCATCTTATCGTAATATAACCTTCGATTATATACTCTTACCTTATTGTTAAATCTATCTGTGGGTGTGGGTGTGTGTATTATTTTGTAAAAGGAAGAAGAAAATGAAATAAATACATTTTCTAAATTTGTTGTTAATAAATAGTCTACCAACACGAATATAATGGTAGCACGTGTCTCTTCTTGGCTAGCACAGTTTCTTTCTTCTCTATTTTCAAGTGCCAATAATCTACCCCTTCCCCCACTTCATCCTTATTCCTCGTATTTTCGTTTCTTTTTTTTTTCCATTTCTATTTCGAGACGTGCTTCAATATATTACCGAAATCAAATCATTTTCCGTATGTATATTTTGCAGGATTCTCGGAACGCAAATAAACTACCATAACACCTTTTTAACGACACGCGATTTGTTTGGCAAAATCCCGAAAACGTGAAGAGAAGTTATCAAACAAAATTGTTTTTTTTTTTATAACTTTTACGTTTAACGAATATCGTAGAATATTTTTCAACTATTTCTTACGCACACCTGTGTAAATTATCAATTGAAACGCGAGCGAAAATTAATGAAAAATTTCATATGATTTTCTTTTTTAAACAAGATAACAATTTTTGTTAATTTTCTATTAAATGAGAAAGATAGAAAACATCCTTTAAAAAAAACACATATGTTTGATTGTAAATTTTCTAAGTATATTAAATTCATTTAAATAGTTGTTTACTTTATATTGTTAGTAACCTTTTGTGCTATTAAACCTCGATTTAGGAAAAGGTTCACTTTCATTTAGGAAACGTCTACTTTCCTTCCCCCAAATATAACTCATTTCCCATTCTCGAGTACCTACCCACAGATTATATACACTTCGGTTTTAGGAACTTTCTGAAAACTTCTCCTTCTTCTTCTTCTTGTGCTCTTTCATTCTCGTTTATTATCCGTTTAAATCTGATTTTATAAAAGACTTACGTTTAACAAATTTTAAGTTTTCTTTTAGAAATAATTAATACCGATAATAAAATATAAATATTTAAAAAATAACAAATTACGTATATGAAACGTGGAAAATTTGAAAAACGTACGTAAAAATTGTACGAATTGTCAAATTATATTTCTCTTCGAAATAAATAATTGGCAAAATTTGACGCATAACAAGTTCGGGTGTGTTGCAGGTATTATTCGTATAAGAAAACTTGTCGAATGGTCACGTTATGCTTGCGTGTTGGTAATCGAAACCTTCATTTTCGCGATACCTGTCGCTAAGTTTTATTCATATCGCCGCATTGTTAACCGATCTAACACGACGTATTCCGCTCAATAATGGCCTTTTCCCGGAAACATTATTTGGCTTTTTGTTCTGTTAATTACAAAATCGATAATTTCGAATGCATACTATTAATCGTAATAGAGAGATCACCGTATCGAATATAAGCAGAGATAGATGGGGGATTGAATACAGATTAATATCATCATTTTTAATCTTTAATTGTAATAAAGAAAAAAAATTAAAAAAAAAAAAGGAGAGAGAAAAAGATTTGTCAAAATAATAGAAGACAAAAAATTCACTTAATTGCCAATATATATTTTTGTATTTAAAAACAATAAAATAAATTATATTTTAAGCAAAATACATTTTCATCATCGTCAATTCAAAAGTAATCAAATATTTATTACAAATAATAATGAATATTATAATTGTTTTGATATATACAAAATTCCTTTAATATTAAATTACTCAAAAGAAATAATAAACTGAAAAATAACTAAATAACAAAATAAAATATTTGTCTAATTAATAATAGAAATTATTAAAAGATAAATCTGTGTTAAAACATTAAAATAATTTTAACAAAAATAACATAATTAAAATAGAAATCTTCGTAATATCATTTTTAACGCGAGTAAAGAAAAAAGAAAATGGTAATGGAAAAAAAAGAAAGATAAAATGACGAGATAGTTAAGGAATGAGATCTGGAAGTCGTTGAAAAGCAAAATAAGACAGGGAGGCAAGTTCATGGCGGCAGACATGTTGGAACAGGTTGCGGAGGTAAGTAAACGAGGGGTTGAAAAAGTTTGTAGGCGGATTAGCGCGGTCGATAGGTGTTGCAAGTCTGAGTTATCGTATAAAACTAGTTTCTGAAGTACGTGCGGTAAAAGAAGGGACGCCACCCTTCTTCCTCTTTATATATACACACTCATACACACACATACATATACATACATACACGCATATACGCTTGGAAGGATTTCGTGTTGCTTTGGATCGTCCTCGTTTAGTTGAAAAGATGAGAAGAGTAGAAAGAAACGAAAGAAACAAAAGAAACGAGGAATAGAGGAAAGTAAAAAAAGAAAAAAAGAAAAAAGAAAAAGAAACAACGGAGAAAGGGTTGAGCAAAGTATTAGATTATAAAAACGTGAGGGAAGGGGGATGAAAATTACAAGGATACGGAGTAACCATGATCTAACATTGAACTTAATGATAGCTTTCAAAGTGCATGATGCATGCACTATCTCATTCGACAATTTGTATTCGAGCACATACAACTTGTATGTCAGAGTTTGTCTAAAGAATAGAATTATATTACAATTTTTCATTTTGTTTTGTTAACGTACTACTATTAG